GTCTGGCTGTTGTTGCCTCGTTTTTTCAAACTTCATCATAGTGAAGGGTGACTTCTGAGTAAACAGGGCACACCGAAAAGGCTCCCTTGAGAGAGGAAACAATGAGAACCAACTCGTTCGAAGGGTCTTTGGAGTCTTTGGTTTTAATCAGTTCCGCATTTGAGATGCGCCCTGCATTGACTTCCATTCAGAATCGTACTGGCCTATTGAATGCTCATGTGGCCTATACAATGACTTGAGGTGGCCAGCTGATGCACTAATCGGTGCTTTTATCCTCCCAGACAAGTCTGGTGTCATTTAGTCGACCCCAAGGGATGGAGGGCCTGGTCACCCCATGCTCATATCGGTCTGGAATTCGAACTCTGGGCTATACGTATGTGATAGTGCGCCACTTGCAACTATACCTTACTGTACTTCTTGAATATGTCATGAAATAAGCCAAACACTATGGCGTAGTGTAGTGGTTGCGTAAATAACCAAAGCCAATTCCACCTGACTAGACGCCCAGATAAAGAGATTCAGTATTAACTGGTCCGTAAACAACATTTCACTCCTATGGGCATGGGAAAGCTATCGCCACTACTCCCATAGATATAAAGTACAACGCATTCTTCATTCTTCTAGCCACATGGAACAAATGGGAGCAATCGAAAAAAGGGGAAAGTGAAGATTTGGAGGATAAGCGGGATGGCTTAGACACGTATCGATTACTTTTTTCCTCATGTTTCCTTTCTCACGATGATATCCAACACGAAGTGCATTTCGCTGATTCCTCGGCCCTCAGCAAACTGAAAAAGGGGCGGGCAACCTTCCTATTTTGTTAGTTTGCTACCTTTTACCCTCAGAAGTTAGGGCCTAACGGGTTTCTTTCAATTTTTGGGTTAATCCGCTTTCAACGGGGTGCACTGCCCACTTTTCCAAGCAACTACCCTCGTTTGTGGGCACTGGACCAGATTGGGCTGATTCCCTAGCATACCATCTCGTTGAATGAAGTAAGGGCATTTCAAACTCACGGTATGAATGGTCCAGTTTGGAAGAAGAAAAGATCGCTAGTACAGACCCAGGCAAGAAACCAGTGCAGTGCCCCTTCACAACTGAGCCTTTCATCCTTCACCTGCTCGACGACTTATCTTCAATCCTTGCCGTCTCTGGAAAATCAGGGTCCATGGATTAGTGCTTGACACTTGTTTCTTTTGAGGATAACACAGGCTTTCCCTGTTCTTCTTCACAGTCATCCTCTCCGGTGCTCTGTGATGCAGAAGAAGCTCTGTGAGTTATGCGCACGGCACCTCGTGTTCATTCTGGTCTGCCAGTTTCGAGCAGTTTTCTATGGTCTTTGTTTTTTTCGCTATTCGGATGCTTCCTGAAGGAAAATAGCCATATTCGTTGATGAATCTTTCCTAAATGGCCGCCTAAATACCAGTTTTCAATTCAGTAATAAAAAGCTAGTTCCTTGTTCTTCGACTGACCATCTACCTTAGTGCAGTAGACGAATCTTTTCAAATCGACCACGTAGAACTCGGTCTGTTGATTCAGTAACGGACAACTAGTTCCATGGTCTTCGATTAGCCGTCTAACTTGTAGCAGCAGCCGTTTCAGTTGTTTACTTCATTATTTATTGAAGGAACGAGTAATTAGGCCTGTGTCTTCGCCACGGCAACTTCCCCCTGATACGTAACGGAAGAGCAGACGTAATGCCCGCATGTAAATGAGAATATCCTGCTTGGCAGACTGTATTGCGAAGCTCGGTTTCGGCATACTGTATTTTACTACTCGATTCAGATTCCTAACCGTATGACTGGCAACTTATAGATCATCACAAAGGGATGCTCTCAGTGTTGTAACGGCCTGTCACATTTACTCCTCCAATTCTCTAAAATTAAAGCCTACTGTAATCAAATAAAGATGCTTTTTAACCATCATACAACTCTTACTACTCATCTAACCTCCCTATATGTGCTTGTAACTTTCGTTTATTTTTTTCTACACACCTGAGTGGCGAACTTCCTACCTTTTGTTTAAAATCATGTTTTACTCGATTTGACTGCGGTCTATTGAGATAATGGAATCATGGGATTGTGGTAGCGCACCTAAGGGTGAACCAAATAAATAAATAAATATGTATGTATAAATATAATTTACCAATATGCGGAACGAAGTTTTTAGAAATAGCTCTCAACGCTCAGATTCATAATTTAACCTTTTTGGCTTCCACAGAGGTATGAAGATTACCAATTGAGAAGAGTCTTTTTTTGTAAACATTTTCTCTTCTTCCAGTTTGTAGTTATGTAGAAAATACCGCACTCATACATCACTGAAGAGTTAACCATTGTGTCATAACATATCTTATTGATCGATTACTTGGTTGTTGTTTGGACTGAATGTTGGAGTTACTCAGCGGGCTAATTTCATCATATCATTGAACACTACTATACCGGTTGTAAGGCAAATTTAGTGGGGTTACTGCTTTTATAAAGCTGTCCCAAAGTATAAATAAACGAGTAGTGATCATTCACTCGTGTTAGTCTATTTAGGGCGGAGGTGTTGTAGTGGTAAGAGCCGCACTACCACACATGCATGGCCACGGGTTCGAATCCCGGTCGATAATTGCTCGGGCCAATCGAGTTTTCCGTTCCTCAGGGGTCGGTTTGAAGCCTTACTCGTCTGAGACGATAAAAGCAATGACTTGTCAATCGGCTGGCCACCGTAAATCTTTGCATAGGCCAAACACCCAGCCAAACATCACTACGATTCCGAGCGGAAGTCGAATGCTGGGGTGCATCCTAGACATTCGATTAATTTAATGAATTTATGGATCAGTCACACAAGTAGCTCTGCTCATAAAAGGCACCTATTCCGGTTCGAATATGCTTCCTATTACTGTCATTCCCATGAGCATTCTCATGTCAGATCTTGCAATTAGCAGAGCGCTTCAACGATGCTCTAGATTGTTCCAGTCTTCAACACTCTTCCAAATTTATTTTCCTCCTTTCTCGGATCGTTGACCGTTTTCGTCGTTTGATTGTTGCTCGTGTGCTGTTTACTGCGTGTTACTTTGTTGCCTCCGAAATTTGTACATGCCTGACAGTACTAGAAATAATATAACATAGCGTCGTCATAACATAACCTTCATCCTTCATTATTGGGTTTCATAGAATTTCACCTGAATAGCAGACTAAACATTAATTCTTCGTTGATACTGATTTCTCATGTCTGGCCTCACGATTAGTGGGTTAAAACGACAATTTCTGGCAAAATGACAATAGCAATGACAATGACGAAATCATTTTTACTCCTTTTTTGGCATTCAGATGGCCCTTTAGCAATAATGGACCATAATTCTGTACTCAGTGCTCATGCCCCTACACTATGCAAAAGGCCATTTTCAAAAAGCGTCCCGCGCCCTGAAAAACCTCCCTTGTCTGTCCTCTTTACTTCTTCTGACATTAGGGTGTCCCATAAGATTCCACGCGCCACAATTGTATGACCTCGTGGCAGCTTTGTTTGTAGGTTTGCGCGCTCATCCTTTACCCGTCTAGAGATCGATTTAGTCGTCCCATAGCTTTTGTGTGTGTCTCTTTGGTGACGGATCTCTTTTGACATCCTCTGTCACGTTGCCCAACATGGACAGCTGAAAGGAGCATTCGCATCATGTTATGCTTCATTGCTCCAACAAAAGGAAGCAGTGCAAGAGACATTTCGAAGAAGAGGTTCAGTGCTTACAGGGGTTGGCTTACAGGGGTTTGGCGACGACGGATAGGAACCTGATCAAGAGCTCGCTGAAATTCATCGAGCGCGTCCCACACCCTACAGACAACAGCACATAACCATTCAATAAAGATGCGATATGTGAATCAGCATGAAATTTGATTTGGTCCACACCAATTAGCGGACATCGGCCTATGAGCCGCGCCTCCCCGTGAGGTTCGCCTCTTCAGGGGATTGAAAAAGTTTTCCCAAAGAAACTTACTGAGAACAAGAATTAGATTTTATATCGGAAACGCGCATAGGAAATGCAATCAGCCCGAAGAAAGTCGATCGTCAGCTGTTTCGGAGTAGAGGCTTCATCCAAAGAAGTTCTCCGTCAAGTTGCTGGAAAGGTATGGTGTATTACGAGCTTCAACTGGAAGATGAAACGGTAAACTCCGCGAAATATTGAAAACAAAGTGCGGACGGGGTGTAGTGACAGGTGGTCAGTCCTGTCAAATGCGCATGGTCCGGGGATCGAATTCCGGACCGATTCTAGTCTAGCCCAACTAAGCTTCGGGAGGATAAAAGCACCGACTGTAGAGTGTTCCTGGTCATTGCCACTCGTTGTATAGGCCACGTGTACGCATTCAAAACGCCTTCAAGATTCTGAATGGATGCATTCAAAACACCTTTATGATTCTGAATGGAAGCCGAATGCGAGGCCCCTTTACAAAAAGGGATTCCTTAGATTCGTAGACTATCCTTTTAATGCATCCAACTCGATATACTGAAAGCTGCCACAGCCGGAAAACGGCCAGAATTGGCAAACTGACGAGCAGCCGTTTTTCATGGCAACAAAGCAACATCGCATGCTGTCATGACATAAGGCAGACAGCCTCGCAGTTGGATTCATTGAGACGTTCTGCCTTCTCCTCGGTACTCCACGGAACTTACCCTATCTGACTACTTCTCGTTTGTTTTGTGTAGGAATTGTATAAATATACTACAAATACAAAAAGGATATCATTAAGAACGCGCGCGAAAAATATTTTGCAAGAAAGTTCTAACAATTTTAAAATGAAGCTCCCTGTGGGACGGAATAATGTAAAAGAGCAAAATGTTTCATATTTAACACAGTAAATCAGTGTTCAACAACAAATATGATCAGTAAGTCTTGCTTAAGAAACAAAAGAAATTTATGGGACATCCTAATAGTTCAATTCAGATTGTTTTGCTTCGCCGTTACCATCAACCACTTTCGCGATTTCTTTATCACTTCGTTTTAATTGAAAACTCTCAGGCCATTACAGATGATGGAGAAGACACGAGTGCAATTTCAAGTGAGGGTATTACGATTGAAATTATGGGAAAAGATGTTTGCATGCGGTTCCGATGTTGCACTCGGTGCATGGGACCCACTTAAAGCATTTCCGCTCACAAAATCCCTTACGGACAGGTATGGTAGATTACTGTGATTATAATTACCACTTTTTTGGTAAAGAATCTTTTACTGCTATGCAAATATTTGTTTTTCAAAATGCCTTTCTTGTGTCAAAATATCAATTCTTTCAAAATGTCTATTCTTTAAATTATTGGGACTTCAGTAGACCATTTCTTTCAGTATTTGATCGCTTTTTTCTG